TTGGGAAGATAATATTTGCTATTAGTGGGACATACCTCTTGTTCTCATCAATATATATATATATATATATATCTACACACGTACACACACATATATATAATATTTACATTGAAAATTTAGATCTAAATATGTTTGTGGAGTGAAAATTAAATTTAAACAAAAAACAAGTATTAATTGAGATTTCAACCATAAATTACACCCCTCTGAACTTTATTATAAGAACATTCTTATGATCTTTAATGTATAATTTACTGTTATACTATTAATTGTTTTCTTTAAATATTCCTTGCTTTGAAGTTTCCTAACTAACTAAACAAAATTAAACTTTTCTAATTATGATTTTTATTGAGGAGAATTTTAAAATATTAAAAGAATTGACTTATTTTAACCAAATTCTCATTATTAAATGCATAGTTGTTAATATGTCTTTATAAAGCGAAAGGAAGTATATCTTCAAAAATTTTGTCATTTAGTAACGCACACCTAAATTTTATTTTTTAATTAACACACATACATATGACATTTTACATGTGAAAAGCCAACCGTTTCATTTCATTCCTCGTTTTCATTTCAATCATAATTCGAGTGGAGAAATATTATATTACCAAGCAGACGCAATTTGACGAGTCATTATTCGACAAGAATTTTTAATCAATTTTGATTCGTATCTCTAAAGATTCCAGATCTCATACATCATCAATTCTTAATATTAAAAAAAAATCCAATATATTGTATCACGCACACAAATGAACTCAAGTTTGCATGATTACTGGCAGGGACTAGTGAGAGACTATCATCACCTTCACTTTCACATGTCGGCAACTTTAATCAATATTAATATTTTAGTAAAAAGTAATCGTTACAATTTAAAATATGGGGAAACAAAAAAATCACATTGTCACGCTTGCACTTATGCTTGTCCAATATTTTGTAAAGTCACGAAAACAATAATTCGATAATCGTGAAACTAACGATGAAAGGAGAGGTTGTGAGAGGATAAAAAACTTTTATAAATTAATATTTTTACATTTTTATTTATAAATCATTTTTAATATATTTTATTAGAATTAATAACTTAAACTTTAAAACTCTGATTAAAACTTTAATAAATTTTTGACTTTGTCTCTATTAAATATAAATATTTTAATAAAAAAAATTTATTAATATTTAATGGAAAGTAAAAAAAATTATAATAAAAATTAATAACATAACTTATAAATAAGATTAAAAAAATCTTATCTCTTTACTTTATAATAGGATCTAATGGAGTAGAAGTAATAGACGAGGCTCTGTTCTAAAGCACAGCAAGAAATCACAAACTTGAAATTAAAATCATGATTTTAACCAAAAAAAAAAAATTAAAGAGAATCACATATAAGGCCCATCAAAGAACATGTTCATGTTGTAGACTCAATAGATTCTACTATTTCTCTATTCTCAAGTACAATTATTTTTAGAGGTGACAAGACCAAACTATACCTTTAATGAGAAAAAGCAAATGTGTTTAACTTTAACTAAAAAAAATTAACAACAAACGGTCCATATCTTAAGTTATCATTTTTCTATATTTAAGTTGTCATTTTTTTATCAAGTTATTATTTTTATTCTTGACACAAGTTATTGTATGCATGCATGCATGCATGCATACATACATACATACATATATATATATATATATATATTATTTTGCACTATTATATCAATAAATTTAAGTGGCCAATGGTTATCAATTATGGTGATTACACAAAAACTTATTTACAATTAAAGGATTTGGGATTTAGTAGCAATTTGCACATATTTAATGAGATTTTAGAGTAATTGAAATCCTTGTATGGGATTCAGTAGTAATTCTTCCTTTTATAAAATGCAAGCATTATTTTATTTCTTAATTAATTAAATTAAGGTTTTTTGTTGTTTATTTGCGAACGTCATATGGCACTTGTATTTGTGAGAGAAAGATTACTGCACGTGTGACACGACTAAACGACTTAGCTACAAGCCTTTGCTTCAATTTAGTTTCAAACTTTCCAGGTATTAAAAAAAAAATCAGTTTGAAACTTAATTTACGGTAAAACTATAAACATACATATATATCGCAGTTATAATTATGAATTATCCCACGTGCCTGAGCTTTCTCAATTAATTACATCTTTTTTTGCCAACTTAATTAATTAATAACTAAATCGAAATATATTGACAGCTACACATCATTTTATGGTAGATTTTTGAAAATTGGATCTTTAAAATATATGGGATAAACAGGTCAGCTTGACCAGCCCAACTTGTTTGCACTGGTTCTGGCAAAATGATCTCTTGAGCGCAGTGAGTTTAAATTTATTTAACTTATAGTATAAAATTCATGCCTTTTTCAATCATTCTATATTTAAACTTGATTTTAAATTATATTATCTAAATAAATTTCAGTTTGTTAAACTATTTTTTAAAAGGCATCCAAATATAAATCCCATTACATTAATTGGATTTTTTTTAGTAAAGTGTAACTGGTTTTCACTCACATTCTTTAGTTTGCAAAATTCAGTTTATTCTAATTTCAATTTTGCAATTTTTCATCCAAACACACCCTCTGTGTTTGTATTGTGGGGTATTTTGTTTGGGAGGAGGAATTTTAATCCATGCACAGGCTATTAGAAACTAAAATAATTATGAGAAATTAAGCTGAAGGACATTATAATTTTCTAAATTCAATTTTCTTATTCCATTCAAAAGAAATTATTTTGGACCATAATTATCTTCTAACAAATTAAACGATGTCAACTTAAATGTGTTCTACTCACGATTGGTTTGGTTGGATCAGGGTCAGACATGTTTTTTTCCTTGACAAAAAGGTGATATAGATATTTTAATTACAAAATTCACATTAGTTATAATAATGGAGAGTAACCAGGTCACAATCATCAATAGTTAATCTATTTCAGCAATATAAATACTTTTTCGCCACCAAAATAATTTAAAACTCGTTAGACGCAAGGATGTGTTAAAATAATATAACTTGCATATATAGGAAATTTGTTAGAAAATAATAAAGGATTGAGTGTGTGAACAATATAAATTTCATGTAATGCATGATATCTAAAAGCCAAAGCTCAACCACTAATTAATTAGCTCAAGGGTGTGTTTGGTTTACACATTCGATTGAGGATTGGGATGCCCAAACTTCAATTAGTGGAGGTAAAAAATCCATTTTAAGATTAGAAATTTTACTGGGGAAAAAAAAAAAAAAATATATATATATATATATATATATCAAACGAGCTTTAGGTCGAAAAGTGCTTTTTCATTGAAGCCATCTCACCGGGCTTCTTGGCGCTTATCAAGAACGTTGGTGGACCCCAATCACAATCTTATATGGATCTCCTCTAGAGACAATCATCCATTGCGACCCACTCTCAACTTTTACTTTTATATGTATATCTTTTTATTTATCTTATTTAATTTGTTCTTTTAAAAGACATGAGTTTTCAATTTTCTCAACACTTTTATTGATATAATATTAATATTAATAATTAAATTATACATTTAATATTTTATGATAATAACTTAAAAGTGAGGTGTCATTAATATTTTTAAATTAAATAAAAAATTTATTAATAAAATAAGAGCTTAAAAAAACAGTTCAAAACAGTTTAATCATTTTAGGTTCTGGATTTTTGTGGAGTTTTGAAAACCTGCCCACGTGACAGCAGGTTAACCAAAGCCAATTACAGGTTAAAATGGTGGAACCAAATCATTATCTTCATTTTGACCAAAAAAATCATTTGTTTTCATCGGTGACAATTCTACCAATCTGACTATTCGAGTGACACGAATCTCAAAACCTACAACACTACGGAGGACTTGTTTTTTTTTTTTAATTTTTAATTTAAAAAAACAGAAGAAATTTACAAACTTATTTGAATAAATATTTTTATTTAATTATTTTTAAAATTATTTTCATTTTTTTAAAATATAAAAAATAGAAAACAAAATTTTTATTTTATTTTATTTATTTTTAAAATACACTACATTTGATTATCAAAAATTATAATTATCTTGATTAATTTTTATTATTATTAACTGTTTATAATTATTATTACCAATTTTTTTAATTTTAAAATTTTTTTTCAATTGACATAATTAAATATATTTTTATTTTATTTTGTTTTAAAAAATAATTTTAAAAATTATATTGTAAAATAATTTTTAAAAATGAAAAATGAGAATAGAAATGAAAGAAGCCAGAGTACTCCATCGCATTCATCTCCGTCCCAGACTCTCTGATCCCATGTCGCATCTCACTCCCTTGTATCTTCATTAACTTTTTCTTTCCCTTCCTTTCTTCTGCTTTGGCCTGAGCCTAACCCCTACGTGATTAGACTTTTTTTTTCCCCCTGACCTATGTGATTAGATGTGGGTTCTAACCGAAGCGGAATAAAACTCATTTGAATTGCACAATTTCATTATTCCACCTTTTTAAAATTTAAAATTTTTAATTATTTATCAGTTTACTTTAAATTTTTTAACTCTACTTTTTTAAAATAAAATTATAATTTAAAGTTTAATATTTTTTTTTAAAATATCAAACGAGTCACAAAAATATAAAGTATGAAATTCATGTCCTTTTTTTATCATAAATATCTAAATTGTCTTTTAAATCAAATGATGTAAATAAATTTTAGTTTGTTCAATTAATTTTTTAAAAAATATTTAAATATAAATTACATTGCAGTGACCAACTTTTGTCTGACTTTAGTTTGTAAATAAACGCCAGTTCATTAACTTCAGTTAAGAATTTTTTAGTCTAAACACATCATAATCGCACAACAGTTCTGAGAACGACCGATTACTGCACGTGTTAAATCTGAGTGATAGCAAGGCGGTGAGACAGCTTGGCTAAATTGGACTTGATATCTATATATAAAGGCTTGAATTTGGTTCCAATCACAGCACACAGAACTCTGCAAAACACGAGACCTAATTAAGCAGAAGCTTCTTCCTTTCACTGCTTCAATGGCTCTCCACCAATTTGCCCTACTTCCAAATGCTACTTTATCCTTCAGAACCAAAATGCTTCCATCAATCATGAGCTCTGGTGTTCCTCGTACAATCCAATGTAAGGCTTCAACCAGTATTGTTGTTTCTGATCAGACCAATGCTTCTCGTCGATCTGTGAATTACTTCCAACCTTCAATTTGGCATTACGATTATATCCAGTCTTTGGGAAGTGATTTTGCGGTATGTTACTCAATTTCACTCATTTATTTGCTTTATTATCATATGTCTTCCAAAATTTCATAACCTTTGTTGCCAATATGAGTCTCATGGCAGCGAACCATACAGGAAAAGTAGGATTCATAAATTCAAGGGCTCTCCTATCATGTAGTCCTCTTGATGAGATAAGCTTTCATTTTGGACTTGTACTCATAATATATTAGTACTTTTATTAAAAGATTAATATCATGGAAAGGACTATTCATGAAAGATTCTAACGAATAGAGTCGAGAATATAAATCAAGTTATATGGATTGACCTAAATAATATATTATAAGGGTCAGGTTGGGTTAAAAAGTATTGACTTTTATAAAAAATGATCATTTTTGACTTAGATCTGATAACCCGTGAACTAAATGAATTAACCTTGATAGGTTAGGGTTAGTTCATTTAACCCATATTATTAATTAAAAAATAAAATAAATTAAAAATTAAAAATGGAGGGAGTTTTGGCACTAAAACGCCACAAGACAAGCAGATTTTAGATCAATCTCATATATTTATTATGTAAATTTTTTAATGGCATTATTAAATATCATATTACAACTTCTCATTTATGTATAATTTTAAAAAAAATTATTACAAAAATAAATAAGTTGATTCTTGACCTATTTAATTCACTAACCCACAAAAGTTAAGTTGGATTGAAATTTTTTCAACCCATATAAAAATAAATTAAATTCAATCCAACTTATATTTTCTTCATCTCATATGGGCCAGATTGGCCCATATTCTCGCTTCTACTACCTAGTTGTGAAGTTGATTGTTATAAGTTCTATATCAAAAAGCTTCACCAAAAAAAAAAAAAGGTTTATGAGTTTGAATGACTCTCCCATTTAACGCTACTATTTTTGGATGAGCTCTTTCTTTCCTCTCATGCTCCTAACATTTCCTTCTTATTCTTCTTATTATGATCTTTTCATAAGCCAGTACAGACTTTGTGATTAAAAGCTTTATATGAACCTATATGAATTATATCTTAACAAGAAAATGAAGATTATTACAGGAAGAATCATATGCAGCGGAAGGTGATCGGCTTAAAGAAGAAGTCAGAGTGATGCTTTTCAAATTGGCAAATCCTGTGGATCAGCTTGATCTCATTGATGTCTTGCAACGACTTGGAGTGGCAGCTCATTTTGGACTTGAAATAAGAAACCTTACAGAAAATATTTACCACAAAAACAAGGGAACATTGAAGGGGAACAAGAATTTACATGCCACGGCTCTTGAATTTAGAATCTTGAGGCAACATGGCTATGACGCGTCATCAGGTATTTAATTATTCAATTTTCACTTGTGAGGCTGTCTTAATTAATTACGTTATTGTTATTGAAAATATTCTTGTCATTTACAAGAAAAATGCATCGTTGACTCGTGGAGAAATTCAAATTCTTAAGAGAAAACTTGAAAATATTCTTATATATGCAGATAATATTTTCTGAGAATGTCTACAAGACTGTTTTTGTGATACAATCTTTGTGAAAATCTACAATTTTATATAAACTTATTTTTAATGCAATATTCTCATTTAACTTTTTAAAAACAGTACAATATTATCCCTACCATTAATAAATTGTTCACTTTTATTAGTTAACAAAATAAAATTATAGAAAAGGACCTCAAAATTATATTATAGAAAAGGACCAATTAAATTTTTTTGATCATTTTCAATAATTTTTTAGGTCACTCTCTGTAATTTTTAGATCTTTTTTCCAAATTTCTAGTCATCTAACAATCAAAATTAACTTTAATTAATGATAGTGGTGACATTACACTATTTTAAAAAATTAAAGGGAAATGTTGCACTAAATATGAATTTAGGGTCCCAAGAGTTTTTGGACCTATAATTTAAAGGTGAAATTGCTCCCTTTAAGTCGTAATAATATTGATGCTAATAACTGTAATTTGCATGGTTGTTTGCAGAAATATTCAAACAATTTCTTGATGACGAGGGTAATTTTGATACTCGCCTTTCCTTTGATATTGAGGGTTTGATATCTTTATATGAGGCCTCATTTCTATCAATGGAAGGTGAAACAATATTGCACAGAGCAAGAGATTTTAGTTTGACATGTCTCAGAGAATTTGTGGGCAAAGACAATAATAAAGACGATGAGATGTGTCTTTTAGTTAATCATGCCCTTGGGCTTCCACTACATTGGAGGACATCAAGATTAGAAGCTCGATGGTTCATTGATGTTTATGAGAAGAGAGACAATATGAGCCCAGCTTTGCTTCAGTTTGCTAAGTTAGATTTCAACATATTACAAGCCAACCACCAAGAAGATTTGAAACATGCATCAAGGTGAATAATCATACTTTTGTATTTGCAAACTAAATCATCCAAAATAAGATGTTTTCAACTGCCTAACATATCTTTAAAAAGTTTGTTATCCCATTAAATAGGATCGGCTATATAAATTGCATGAATCCATTGTGAATATTGAACAGTTGAAAACATCTTATTATTATATGTTAAAAAAAAAATCCCAAGATTTCATTTTCACCTCTATTTATTAAACAAATATATGTAAGTATTAATATCTTTTTTAAAACACTCAAGGAAAAATGACAAAGCATTAGATTATTTTACAAATGGCCCAATATTATATATGGACTAAAAGTATTCCAGAAGACAACTTATAATACTGTTAGAGTGTGTAATGATGAGTCTTTAATAGAAGAAAAATAGGGTACTAACGTGTGTGTGTGTGTGTGTGTATTAATTGGATTTTTTTAAAAAAAAAATTTCAACTGCAAGATGGTGGAATAGAATTGGACTTGCAGAGAAGTTGAGTTTTTCAAGAGATAGGTTGGTGGAGAATTTCTTTTGGACAGTGGGTCTCGCTTATGAACCACAATTTGGACGTTTTAGAAGAGTGATGACAAAAGTGAATGCACTAATAACAACAATTGATGATACTTATGATGTGTACGGAGAATTGGAAGAATTACAACTTTTCACAGAAGTGGTTGACAGCTCAGCATCTTGCGCTTGAATAATCTTTCCCTATAATATAATTGTCTTAAAATAATATTGTACTATGATTTTACAATTTTTCTTATATATTATGCAGATGGGATATAAATGCCATAGATATACTCCCTGAGTACATGAAAATATGCTTCCTTGCACTTTATAACTTTGTTAATGAAATTGCCTTTGAATTTCTTAAAGAGAATGGGAAGAACATCACTCCAGTACTTAAGAAAGCGGTAAGCATATAAATTCAACAGAATGATTTGGTGATGATGACTCTCTAATTTCATGTATAGATTATGATGCTTAATTAATTTTATTTTCAGTGGGCTGATCTTTGTAAATCATATCTGGTTGAGGCAAAATGGTATTATGGTAATTATCAACCAAGCTTGCAAGAGTACTTAGAAAATGCTTGGATTTCAATCAGTGCACCAGTTTCACTTGTTCATGCTTATTTCTTACTTACAAGCTCAACAAAAATGGAGGACTTGATTTGCCTAGAGGAAGACTCTGATATCATTCGTTCTTCGGCAACAATTTTGCGCCTTGCTGATGACTTGGGAACTTCTGAGGTATTTATCATCACAACAATTAAATTGAATCCTCTATAAGTGGAGCCATGATTTAATAATAAAGGGGGCAATATTAAAAAGCATATATATATATATATATATTATAGAGCTTTTAAGGGGGCCAATATTAAATATCACATATATTATAGAGCTTTCATAAATTTTAGGATCAAAAAGGCAAAAATATCCAATAACTTTTTTGCCAAAAGCTAGCGTCCAATCTTATTACTTCAATAATGATGCATGGATATCTATAAATTTTTTTTTAATGAGGACATCCTTCCCCATCTCGTTAAATTTGCTTGATATTCATGAATGTTGGCTGTTAAAAAAATAAACAGAGAAATAAACATAAAGTGTAAAAATATCTAAAAACTTTTTTTTTTCCAAGAGTATGGTATCCTTAAGTCTAGGTATTTTTTCTCCTAAAAAAAAAAGTTTTTGGATATTTTTGTTTCTTAACCCAACATCTTGGTCCAGGTTAACGGAAGTTAAGCTATATTTTAATATTTTGAGGAAGGATGTCTTCATTAAAAAGAGTTAATAAGGTACTCATACATCTTTGTTGACTTAAAAATATTGAACGCTCTTTGTGAAAATGTTCTTGGATGTGTTTGCCCTTGTCAAAAGTATATAATATCTATATAATATTAAAAAAATTTCAAAAACTCCCAAGGGGCCAGGCATGGTCCCTATTGGTTACCTTTTCCTTTGCTCTTGCCTCCATTCTCAATTACCTACACAAAATTGCAAGTATGGCTTCATCATTTTGTTTTGTTTTGTTTTGTTTAGCGTGAAATGGAGACCGGTGATGTACCTAAATCAATTCAGTGCTGCATGAAGGAAACTGGAGCTTCAGAAGAAGATGCTCGTAGACACATAAATTCCTTGATTATTGAAACTTGGAAGAAGATGAATAAAGAAGCTAGAAATTCTTCTTTCTCTCAGGATTTCATTCAAATTGCTATGAACTTTGCAAGGATGTCACTATGCATGTATCAACATGGAGATGGCCATTCTGACCAAGATCCTGAAACAAAGAATCGTATTACGTCCATACTTTTCCATCCTATTGTATAAATTTAATTTGATGCAGTAAGTCCATTTTCTCAAGTATGTGTATTACTTTCATCCCTGTGCCATGCACAAGGGTAAACAAAAGTTTGATGATATCTATAAAGTGATATATCATTATATAGAAATTTCTGGTCACTGATTACTTCTATATATATATATATATATATATCCATGAACTATATATTGGTATGCAGCATGCATGCATAGTTGCATGAGTAACACATAAAATTCATCAATTAATGGATGGAAGTGAGAGACAATTTGCAACTTCATAGGATTTAAATATAATAATAATTATATGGCCAAACACTTCCATGCCAGAATTTGTCGTGTGAGTTTTGAGTTACATCAAAATGTGAAGAAATTTTGTCTAAGCATATTCCAAAAATGCATAGCATATAATATGAACATAAAGTTTCTTGCTTCAAACATAAAACAGAATATGCTATTGAAGATTTCCCTTTTTAAAGTTATGGATTGCAAATCTATGAATCCAAGAGTTTCTGCAATGATATTAATATACTTTTGTAATTAGTCTTACGCCTCTTGCTTTTCGATGTAATTTGCGTACAGTGCTGCGAAATAGTTATACTACATTACTACAAAAAAGAAAATATTGGATGATTATTTTTGTCTATATTGAACGGTTATGAACGATCCAATATGAAACCGTTATATATTGATAAAATAAATATTGGATGGTTATTAGAACCGTCCAATATAATGTCAAAATAAGTGGTAAAGGAAACAATATATTGGACGGTTATTTTAAGAACTGTCCAATATATGGACATATTAGACAGTTTTAGTCATATATTGGACGGTTATAGTAAATAACTGTCCAATATTTTTATTATATTGGACGATTATAGTAAATAACCATTTAATATATTGCAATGTTTTTTTAAATACGTTGGCTGCATTTCTTGCAGCCCCCCTGCAACAGTATAATGCAAATACAAATCAGTCCAATTCAATTCAGTTCAATTCATAATTATACTAAACTAAATTGAATTATAGTAAACTAACAATTTTATTAAAGTAAAAAAATTTGTTACTTATATAATTGCTCAATATAGTACTAAGTAAAACAAAGTTGTTTGCTAGACTAAACCAAAATTATTGTAAATTATAAAAACTAAAATGAAAAAGTGTGATTTATTTATTTCTGGCCCATTGTTGAAAAATATACTCACACCATTCCTCAATAACTTTATTGATGTGATGATTCCCAAATTCTTCACAATATAAATCGGGATAATATTGCAATAATGTAATATGACAACAAAGTTAATTATTTCAACAAATTAAAATTCATAATCATATATAATTTAATGTAAATAGCATACATATCGCAGGAGGGATTAGAGTCATCCCATGAGTGATGATGTCTTTAAAAAATCTCATATTGCAATATCCACAATCCTCGCTATATGCTATTTGTTGTGGGAACTATATAGAAAAACCAATAAACATGTTATTGAATTAATTAAAAAACTAAAATTGATTGTCAAAATTAATAGTAAGAAGTACCTTTATTATCTTGCAATTAGGGTAAGCTGGATCATATCACTTGAACCTTAATGGTACAGGCAAGTTCTTTTTAGTGCGATAAAGCACCACAGCCCTGATAAAAAGAAAATAGGTTAAAATTAGAAATTTAAAATGAAAAAAATATAGAAATGTTAATCAAAACATAAACTTACAAATTAAATAATTCTTTCATATCCGATCTATTATCTGGCTGCCTACTAGCAGAATCTAAATAGTAAAACTTTGCAATTTTAACAGTAGCTAGCATAATGTTGATTAGCATCCAATAGCTCCTAAAATAATTTGAAAACATATGTTATGAAACTTAAAATGACAAGATAAATTAAATAAATTAGGATGCTATTGAACTTACCCTTACACATAAGGTACTAGAAATAACGTCCCCGCAGTAGGGTTTTTTGCCTCAAAGTACTTTGCTAATGTTTGAGCTTGGCTATACCTCACCTCGGTAGTGATGTTGCGATGAGCAGAGACATTATGAGGTCAAACAAAGATAAATTTTGACGCAAAATCACCAGGGATGATAAAATTTTCATATAGGTACCTAAATAAAAAAAATAAATTATTATATTATATTAGTTTAAAATATAATAAAAATTCATATAAACAATATGTACCTTATATAAAAATGAACCGCATTTTGGCTTATCGAAACACGCTTGAGGACTTCGTTATCCATTTCAACCCTAATCACATCGTGTTGTTCTCTGTTATACATGCTCTGGTCAAAGCTGATAAGTATTGTAGAATCACTAAACAACTTTGCATATGCCTAAGTGCACTCTAATAGGTTTTAGGAGGTTGGTTTGGCACGACTGTCTCGACCTTAGATAATTAGCCCGATTGTCTAGTGATACACTTCTCATTAGACTGCACACAAATTATATAGTTAGAGACAAATTATGTGACATATATATAAAAAGGTAACTAGCATACCTATTGATTTTGTGCTTTATCTTCTACACAGAAGCAAACCCTAGGCCATGCAATAAAGTTACCACTTACTTCTCCAACAGTAAATGCATCTAAGGTGAGAATGGGCAACGAGAAGTTGGCATTAATGGGTTCAAGAATTAACCCTCGCAAATAGTCTGCAGGTATCAGCACATTGCGTATGGTATTTTCCTCAGGGATATTAAACACACGGCCTCCTGTCACTTTGTGTCTACGAGGGCTATTTGCCACAAAAAAGCAATCGTGCTTGCCCTAAATAAAAATAAATATAAGTTAATAAAATAATGGTCAACCAAAGTTAAGGAATAAAAATAATATATACCTCGAGAATTTGACCAGATGGCTGGGCCACAGTGTAACTATCTATCTTGCTTGGACTTATGTGCTCAAAGGGCGACTTCCCAAAACCTAAACAGTGCCTTAATCATTTTTTGTTGCGCTTCTACTTATTATTTTAGAGCATTAAATTCAGCTAAAGAAGGGACATCTTTTGGAGTCTTTTTTTCCCCACCATTTATTTCCTTGAGACCCCCATGCCAACACCTCTAACATGACCTAGGTGATCACGATTTTCAATGCCTTTTCTTAGACATCTTCATCCTGGGGAAGCTCACCTTTAGAAACTTCTTCTGAAATGACACTCTATTCATCATAATTTAAAAAATACAAGTTATTAAAATAGCAATTATTAACATGTTATGTAAAGTTGAGAATGAAAATACTTACAACATTTTCAGCAAGTTCTCAAACATGTTCACCCATATAGTTACCATCTTTATCAGTCTGACCTAATATAAACAGTCTGGCCTGTGATATAGAGCTCTTTGGTGTGCCTTGTTTGTCAATCTATGCATTAAAATACATTATTGACATCATATATTGCATATCAATTAATAAATTCAAAACATACTACTTGTTGCTCAATCCCTAAATACCCTAAACACCCTTTTAGGAAGGGGAAAAGATTTTTTACCCTTAAATGTTTATTCTTTTGGCTCAGTTCTTAAAAAAATAAAAAGTGCCATGATTTTAGTGATCAATTCATATAAAATTATTACACAAAATATCAGTATCCTTACCAAGAATGATTTGTCAAGGCGCCTAGCAACAAAAGCATCCCAATGTTCTTGTTTGACAATGGGTCTTATCAACTCAAGGACTGTAGGACTAATATGGCCACCAGTATGAGTAATGTATTTTGATCTTACAAAATATTGAAGCGCACAATGTGCCTTACATGCTACTTCCATGACAAAATGCCTTCGATTAGCATCAATCTCAAATGCTAACTGCTCAATCAATAGATTTAAGATATAAGTTAGAAAATTAACATGATAATATAATAAATCAATTAATATTATAAATACATATATATTACCTCAACTTGTTCTCATATGAAATCCATAGAGGCTGAATCTACATCATGCCAACTATTAATTGATAATCCTAAATGCCATTTGGTCATAGCCTCCATGTAGCTGGAGAATTTATGCTTATTGGTTCTAATTGGTTGACCCTTTGAATTTCATTGAAGAGAATATTTTTGTCTTCGATTAACCTCACCCATCAATACCAAGCCTTTTCTAATCGATATAGCCACAGTTTTTTAAGCATTTTTAGCCATAGGCTGACTGGTAGATGTAGAGGGATGATCACCTGTCGACAGGTTAGGAAGTAGCTCAGTTGGCGAGTTAGGGGGTGAACTAGTGGCACTAGGAGGATTGTTGAATAGGTTATTAGTCGGAGTGAGAACACCAGTTTTCCTAGGTGGTATTTTGGGAGTCATTTACCTATAATGAAATAGTTAAAAGATAAAACAAAAATAGTAATTAAGAAAATTAAAATGCACAAGGCACAAATAAAACACAAATAGTAATTAAGTAAATTAAAATACACACACATAAAATAGAAATAGTAATTAAGTAAATTAAAATACACAAGTCACAAATAAAATATAAATAGTAATTAAGAAAATTGATCATCACAAGATTAAGTCGATCTTTTTCTTTTCCTCATCTTCTTTTGAACTTATTCTACATTGATAGCTCGATTTAATTTCATAATCTTCTCTTTCATTCTTTTGCCCCTTTTTGAAATTCAAATACCTTTATTGTGATCATGTTTTATATAGTTGGCACCATCTTCAATGAGATTGCTTTCAAGCACAGTCCCATCAAATGGATCATCCTCAACAATATCAATCATCTATATAATTGTTTTATTTGACAATAAAATAATAGACCAATTTTGTTTTGCAAGATCAGGAATATAGAACACTTGTTTAGCATGCGATGCCAAAATAAAAGGCTCATCTTTATTTCCATGCCTTGTAACATTCACCTGTATGAACCTAGATGACGCATCAATTTGAAGGCCACTTTTATAATCAATCCAATTACAACCAAAGATCGAAACTTTAAACTTAACATAGTCTAACTCCCATATATTTTCAATCACTCCAAAATATGACATTAATGCATATATAGGATTTTTGT